AATATCAGTTTTAATGATTTTGAAGGACGCACAATAAAATGTGAAAAAAATGATACTTTGTCCTCAGCTTTTTTGAAACCCAAAAATTATTTTTGGATAATAAATGGGAAATAACAAAAGGGAAGGCAATATAAAAGAGTAGCCTGGACAAAACACCAGAACTTAAAACAACAAAAATTGTGGAGAGTGGAGGGCTTTGAGCACCAAGAAAGACCATTCTAGCCAATCTTTTTGGTGTCCTTTGATGAGGCCTAATAAGATGAAAATAGAGATTCAGAAACATTAACATGAAAGAAGAATATAATCTAGAAACTGATGTTTAATGGTACCGGCAATTTTAGACCAGATACCAATTTCAGCCTAAAATTCTGCCGCTGTGGAATAATCCTAGGATAATCACAGAGGATGCATTTTGTTGCAGAAGATCATCCACACATGATGTTCAAAGATTCTGTAAAACTCTGTTCAAACATTCAGCCTCAAGTCACTGACAGAACAGAATGCACAGATGAGCTATTTCCCCCCCAGAATTGTTTGCATATGTATTCACCTGCATGATGCAAAAAAGGCACATGTGTTCATCTACCCCAAAACCACCCAGTGAACAGAAACTAGAAAATGGCAGACTTAGCCTAGACTGACAATTCAGTGTAATGTCAATCAGGGAATGGTACTATGAAACCCACAGGAAGTTTCCTCCTCCTTCTGAGCTCGTGCTACTCATAAGCATACGTACTCCATGCCTAAACATCCATTCTGGAGCATTGAGGAATATCAAGAAGCTGACTGTACACCGAGGACTGAACACTAGCACTTTAATATGTTGTAATATTTATAGTTTTAAATAGTGTATTGATGGTTTTTATATTGTAGATTTTATTGTCACATTGCAGTGTTTTATACTGGTTGTGTAAGCCACCCTGAGCCAGCTCTGCTGGAAGGGTGGGGTAAAAATCTAATAAATAAATAAATTACATGCCAGAAGGTGAGTTTCTTCCCATGGTGCAATTGGACAGGTGCAATATGGGAAAGAGAGGAGAGTCTTCTACTGCAGGGGAAGATATTAGCCACTGCCAGAGGGTACAGTCCATATATCTGATTGGAGAGATATTCCCTTGTTTACTGCATGAAACTGTCCTTGCTATGTAATATATTGTGACAAGCAAAAACAATGAGTCATTTTGCAAGAATGGGGAAAGGAGATTTTATCATTGCCAAGTGGATAGGGAATAATTTGTCACATCCTATCCATATATCTGCTTGGATATTTAAACAGTTCTTCATCATATTCCTTTCATTCCATACGTAAAAAGAAAAGGAAAAAAACTTTAATTTTGAATAGAGATTCACAGATGTTGGGTTTATTTAATTGTGGCCAATTTGTAGTAGCCAGTAAGCGTTCTGCTTCCTTGTTTCCTGTTCCACAATGACAAGGTCATTTTGGTACTTGCTGCCCAGTGAGGAGGTTTTACAAGGGAGGAGAAGAGGATTATGTACCTTTTTGTTTCTACCGTGTTTCCCTGAAAATAAGACACTGTCTTATATTTATTTTTTCTCAAGAAGACACACTAGGGCTTATACCACAAATGCATAGAAATCCTGCTAGGGCTTATTTTTTGGGTAGGTCTTATTTTCGGGGAAACAGGGTAGCAACACCTTCCCTCCAAACTTTCGATATCTGGGTTGTGCCCTGGCGCCATTTTGAAAGAGGCCTCCTTGGCCTCCCTCTGCTGCTGGTGAATTCTTCCAAGCATTTGTGGTGAAATAAAGTAGGTGCTTTCTCTGACAGTCACTCCCGATGCTCATATTTCTAATTGCCTGGTTTTTAAACCTCAATCAGCTACACTGAAAATAGGCTGGTAATTTTCAGCATCCCACATCTTAGGCCAGTGTCATTTTGGATTTCACAGTTTGCAAAACCAAGGCTTGATGGAGAGAGAAACTGTGCTCTCTTGTTTGGTTCAATAGTTCAGAGTCTGGGTCAAACCCCAGTTCTAATTTTACCTCATCCGTGAAATCCCAAGGTGGTCTTTGGCAATATTCTCCCAGTGGGCTTTCCCACCGTTTCCTCAGAGGTGTAAGACAGCCTCTCATTGCTGATCTGTTTTAAGGACTGCTGAAGTGAAGTATGTGGTGTTCTCTGAATATGTTGATGCATCTTCAGGACTAAAGAAAAATATATTTGTTATTTTTTATTTTTATTTATGCTTTCAGCTTGTATCCCGCTCGAACCCCCCAAGGGGTCTCTGAGCGGCTTACAGTTACTCTTTATCCCTCTCTATGGCCACATATAGTCAGGGTGGGGACTGCCCTACCGGCACCCAGAGGAGGGACTTTGCTGTTCTTCTCTCTCGGTTCGGCATTCTTGTCGGCTCGGCTTCGGTTTTTCCGGCTCCTCAACTTCTTCTTGTGGTCTGCGGCGTCAGCTGTGATTGGCAGGCCTATCCGTCGCGCAGTTTGCGTTAGCGCGGCTCCGGCTCTGTCCATTTGGCTCCCCCGTGCCTGCGCCTCTGCGTTCTTTGCGTCTCCTGGCGACGTCCGATCCACCGCTGGTGTTGCGCCTAGTCGCCATTTCGCCGCCGATGCTCCATCAGCCCCCACAACGGGGACGGGTGCCCCCTGCCACCTAGGGCAGGTACCCATTTATCTACTCGCTTTTTCGATGTTATTTGTAGCTTTCGAACCACTGGGTTGTGCACCCTGGAAATCCTAATTCCATATCAGGAAAAAGCTGAATACTGTGATATCTGTATATCTATATATGAATATGATAGAAACTGAGCAGTTTGCATACATTTATTCTGCTAATATTGTGGCTATCTACTACGTTTTTATCCCTCAACATGGTTCTTCCTGCATTTTATGTGCACAATAACCCTGTAAGGTAGGTTGTATTGAAAATGACTGGCCTAAGGTGATCTGGTGAATTTCTTCGCAGAGCACGGATCTGAGCCCAGTCTCTTTAGCCCCAGTATGGCTGTGGTCACACGAGTAGTTTGTCGCGACATACTAGCGTTACCTATGTGGATTTAAAGGGCTCGATCAGATGACGACATCTGTGGACCAGTTGTTGGCAACCCGTCCCGCTTCTCATTAGAAGCAGAGTTCCGTGCACCTTGGTGTTTAGTCATGCCGGCCACATGACCACGGAAACGTCTTCGGACAGCGCTGGCTCTTCGGCTTTGAAACGGAGATGAGCACCGCAACCCTAGAGTCGGATTTGACTGGCTTTCGAGCAAGGGAACCTTTACCTTTACCTTTTTAATCAGGCACTGGGGAAAGTCCGGTAGTAAGGCATGGTAGCACTTCCACTCTGTTTTGTCCAATGTCTGAACTCTCCTGGCATGAAAGGAACCCAGAAGTGAAGTGTGAATGGGCACTTCCATCTCTTTAGTGGGTTGCGGAGCTAGCTTACGGAAGCGGTTGTTCGCTCATGTGCTTATACGCACGCACAATGGCTATTTAAAAAAAAAAAACCTCCCACTAGCACAGTGCATCCCATAGTTGACGCACAACAGGACTGTAGATGCTTGACCACAGGATAGCCACGCAGGTAACCCGCAGCAGGGTGTGCTGCCTGGTTGGTACGCCCCGCAACACTTTAAGCCGGTGCAGTTAGAGGTGCCGCCATATCGTGCCAAACCACTGGTGTGCCTGCAGCCTATGACACTCTAACCACTACACCACACTGACTCTTGCTAGTCACAGCAAGGCCCTCAGAGTCTGCAGGACTCTGAGGAATGTTGGGCTGAGGGTCCACCCTTGGCTGCCGGTGACCTTTTTCAGCCACCTGACTGGCTTCAGTGGTGTCTGCAGACATTGCTCAGATGCTTCCAAGCACAAATTCACTAGAAGGCCTAGAAACTTGCTTTAAAAAAACAAAAACAAAAAAACGCAGGCTACTCTGCAAGCTGAATACTGTGCCCAGTTTCATGCTTTGTCCTCTAGAGGAATCCCATCATCCATACAGTCCTGGTTTTCAGCGCTCAGCAGGTGCAGCTGCTAAGATATTTTTAAGCTTTGAAATCATATTTTTTTAATCTGTAGGGCTGTTTTTTATCAATTACGCTACACAGTTTGTGCCACGTCGTCATTCTCTGGCAGTTCCTCTGGGTGAAGACTGACATGTGTCTGTTGGTTCTTCCCCGTGCCAGACTCCTTACCTTTTCCAACCCGTCCCTTCTGGCCAAAAATGCAGATCAAAAAGGTACTAGGGAAAATGTAGTATGAATGAATGAATTTTATTGTTACAGCGCATAGCCAGCAATGAGAAAATGTAGTACCTACCGGAAGATCCGCAGCAAGGCCGGGCGTGGGATCGCGGACGTGCCGGCAGCCCATGTTATTTGAGGGACTGCCGGACTGCACATGCGCACGAATACTCCAGCATCCTCCGCTCCCCCGTCTTTGCCTCGCTTCTTCTGGCCATGTGATCACGCCGGACAGAATATGTGCAGTGGCTCGGGGGAACCGTCTGATCCCGATGCTGCACTTTCCTTTGGTGCGGCTCTAAGAAGCCGCACTTCCGATGCGGCTTTTCCCACCGGTGTGACTTTCAGGGCATTTCCCCCCCCCCAAAAAAAAGTCATTTCCGTACCCTCTCAGAAGGCAAGCAAAAGTGATTCCTTCCTACCCCAGTGTAAGAGAGAGATGCCCTCTTTGTGGTGAAGATCATTGCAGCCCTCCGAACATGACTCCATGTGGAGCCTCTGAGCAGGTGAATCCAGCTCTTTGACCTAACTGCGATGTCCTGTCCCCTTTACAGAGAGCCAGTGTGATGCAGTGGTTAAGAGCGGCAGACCCGGGTTTGATTCCCCACTTCTCCACATGGAGCCAGCTGGGTGGCCTTGGGCCAGTCACAGTTCTCTTAGAGCTCCCTCAGCCCCACCTGCATCACAAGGTGCCTGTTGTGGGGAGAGGATGGGAAGCCGCCTTGAGACTCCTGAGGGTAGAGAAATGTGGGATATGAAAACTATCTCTTCTTCTTCTCCTTCTTACAGGCTTACAGCCTCTTTACTGGAGCAGGGACGACGTGGCCCAGTGGCTGAAGTGGGCTGAAAAGGAGTTCTCGTTGAGGCCCATCGACAGCAACACGTTTGAGATGAATGGCAAAGCCCTCCTGCTCCTGACCAAAGAGGATTTTCGATACAGGTCTCCCCATTCAGGTGAGGAGTATACAGGGGCGGGGCGGAGGGGGGAGCACACAAGGTAGAGCAGGGACCCAGAGCCTTGTAAGGGAGGAGGACATTTGACTTGGGAAAGCGATGAGACTCTGCAACGTTTGTATGATTGACATTGCAAACTGCATGAAGCAGGGGCCTATCTATTTGCTGATGTAGTGCCGTGCAGTTTATTTGTTTTAGAATATCTCTATCCCGCCTCTCCAGAAGATTTGCATGAGGTGGCTATAAAAAAAATAATTAAATCGTCAAGCAGTTCCCTTAGAATGGTTGATACAAGTCTAACAATAAAATCCTCAGCAATAAAACAATAACCGAAAGCAGTAAAATTCAAACACACAGAGGGGCTCAACAGCAAAACTTGGTTTTTGAAAAAGTGTCTGAACTCCTGTGTGAAGAGAAATGCCTTCACCTGATTGGCCAGCATTGAAGGCACCAGATGAGCATCAAGGAGGGAGGATATTCCAGAGCTCGGGAGCCACCAGGGAGAAGTCCCTGTCCCTGTTCAGCACCTCCCTTCTGGAGGCGAGGACACTTGGAATGGAGATCTTTGTTGGCCAGCTTCAAAACACTGGGGCATCTCACTCTTAACTGAAAGTTCCAGAGGCATATCTCTGTTGATAACAGGTAACATTATACAAATAAGGACTGTACACCATAAAAGCATATAAGTAATCAAAACACCGTCAAAAATGCCACCTATGTAGCAGGAGCATAATCAATGAAATAATAAATATCCACAATGAAGCTAGAATGGCCAAGAACACAGTTTTCTTCAGAAACCCTGCAGCCGCACAAAAGGTGTTAAAAGGCAGCAAAGATTAGAGTTATTGAAATAGTAAAGCGATAAGCTAAAAATATTAGGCAGGCTAACTGAAACACCTAGAAGTTAAAATGACTAAACTGAGGCTATTGTAACTTTGGTCACATGATGGGAAGAGAAAAGAGTCACTGGAAAGACAATCACACGAGGGAAAGTTGAAAGCAGCAGGAAAAGCAGAAGATCCAACATGAGATGGATTGACTCAATCAAGGAAGCCACAAAGGCCCTCTATTTGCAAGACCTGAGCAAGGCCGTTAATGATAGGGAGTTTTGGGGAACTTTAATTCAAAGGGTTGCCATGAGTTGGAAGAAACTTGACAACTCTTAACACACACACACACACAAACTAAAATACACATCAACAAGAAGCCTGGCTAAAAAGAAATATTTTTATTTAAAAGACTCTGTGTCAGGGGTGTGTGGGGAGGCAGGATGCCCAGAGCTGGGGCACTGGGGCAGAAAGTCCTTCACTCACTTGCTTTCCCCTGCCCCAATTCAGAAAGCACAGGCACCCAGAAAAAGAGCCTCAGAGGAAGACTGTAACTGACAGACAGGTTTGCAGGGCTTTGTTTGTCCATTGGCTTGCTTTTATATTCTTGCGGGTTTTTTTAAATTGTAAGCTGCTTCAAGCAGGACTCTGGGAAGGCAGCAAAGGAATATCCAAAGTAAATAAAATGTGGGGACTGGTACCCCACTAAGCAATGTTCCCTCTAAGCTGTGGAGTCTTGTGAGCAAAAATTCTATTTTGTGAGCTACTGGCATTAGAGAGGAAGAAGAAGAGGAAGAGATTGGATTTATACCCCGCCCTTCACTACCCAAAGGTGTCTCAGAGCGGCTTACAAACTCCTTTCCCTTCCCCTCCCCACAACAGACACCCTGTGAGGTGGGTGGGGCTGAGAGAACTCTGACACAAACTGCTCTTTTTTAAGGACAGCTGTGCCAGAGCTTGTGACTGACCCAAGGTCACATCAGCAGGTGCAAGTGGAGGAGTGGGGAATCAAACCCAATTCTCCCAGATTAGAGGCCGCACACTTAACCACTACACCAAACTGGTTGTGAGCGAACAATTTGGCTACTGCATAAATTAGTTTGCTCTGGAGCCATCCTTCCTGAGCTAAGACAAAAATGTGTGAGCCGGAGGCGAAAAAACAGTGAGCTAGCTCACACTAACTCAGCTTAGAGGGAAAACTGCCACTAAGTATCCTGATACACAACATTTGATAGTAATTGAAGCTTTCAAACCACCTTCAGAGGCAGCCCCACACAGAAGGCATTGTAGTAATCTATCTTGAGTGTGATCTGAATGTGGATAACGTAGCTGAATCCTCCCTTTCAAAGATGGGCCATGGCTGGCAACCCAACCAAAGCTGGACAGAAGCTCTCTGTGCCATAGAAGAGATTCAAACCTTCCATCTGTTGGCCCAAATTTAGTAGTCTTTCCAAGCTGCGAGCCCACTCTTTCAGGGGGAGTGTATCCCCATCGAAAAAGTGTTGCCTCCTTAGTCATATAGGCAATGATCTTCAGTTCATTGGCTCTTGTCCAGCCTGTGACCACCTGCAGACATCACCTTTCACTGTCTCATCTGATTCCTCCTCGCCTCCAAGTGGCTGTTGACAGCACCCTGTCTAGTAGCGTTCCAGATGTCTGTGTGGGTTGCAGAGGATCGCAGTTGGTCCATCTCTGGCTGAATTCAGCATGGGTTCATCAAAACCCCAGAGACTAAGGACGAGTTGCTGGATTTGTTTGGGAAGGCTATGACCTTCCGCTGGGGAGAGAAAAACCCAAATGCCACGACCTCCATCTAGAAAGAGTACTAAGGAAAAAGCTTTGTCAATATAGAGTTAAGGTCATTATGACATCAGCAGCTGGTAGACAGATTCCGCCATCTACTCTTTTCCCCCAGACAAGTTCTAAATGACAAACTGGACCTTGCCCCAGATTTCAAATCTTCCCACCATTTGTCCGGCATCTCACTAGGAAACAACAACAATAATAATTAAAAATAAATAGGGGCATGGTTTCCTGTCCTGAAAAACACAAAAGGCTCTACATCTGACAATAGCACTGCAGATAAGATTAGAATTTCAACAGCCAATCCACATACAAAAGAACCTCCTCAGGAAAGCTCCCCCATTAGCGTGTTCATAGCCTGGGGAGCTCCTACAAGATAATGACTCAGCCCTACCCCACCTTCTGGAGGAGATATAAATTACCTGCCTACCATTTTTTTCCTTCTCACCTTGACACAGAGAGTACTCCATCTTTCTGTGTTATATCTCTGAGGATGCCAGTCACAGCTACTGGTGAAACGTCAGGTCCGACAAAGCCAAGACCACGGCCACACAACCCGGAAAATCTACTGCAACTAATGAACTGCCTTCGACAACATAATAATAGTACCCTTAGTAACAATGTGACAAAGGACAATGAGGAAGTTGTCTGACACATATTGGCTGGGAATGTGTCAGGTATTCAGAGGAGAGGAATGGGAAGCTTTCCAGAGTTCCTCTGCGTCTTACCAGACATCGCCTGGCTGAATCCTAAGGCTCATTTGCACGGATACTCATGTCGAACCAGCGGCCCTTCCTTTTGCATTTATCCTGATGGCGTTGGTGCAAACAAAGAGGTAACTGCAGGTTAAGGGAACAGATTAGAATCACAGAATCATAGAATCACAGAGTTTGAAGGGGCCACACAGGCTGCCTAGTCCAACCCCCTGCTCACTGCAGGATCAGCCTTGAGCAGTGTTCCCTCTAAGCTGAGTTTGTGTGAGCCAGCTCACAGTTTTTTAACCTCCGGCTCACACGTTTTTGTCTTCGCTCAGGAAGAAGGGCTCCAGAGCAAACTAATCTACGCAGTAGCTAAATGGCTTGCTCACAACTTTAAGGCCAGTAGCTCACAAAGTAGACGTTTTGCTCACAAGTCTCCACAGCTTAGAGGGAGCGTTGGCCTTGAGCATTCCTGACAAGTGTTTGTCCAGCCGCTGGTTAAAGATTGCCAGTGAGGGGGAGCTCACCACCTCCCTAGGCAGCTGATTCCACTGTTGCACAACTCTGACTGTAAAAAGGTCTTCCCTAAGATCCAGCCGGAACCTTCCCACCCTTAATTTAAACCCATTATTATGAGTCCTGTCCTCTGCTGCCAACCCCCTGCCTTCTACATGACAGCCCTTCAGATACTTCAAGAGAGCAATCCTGTCCCTCCTCAACCTCCTCTTCTCCAGACTGAACATTCCCAAATCCCCCAGCCTTTCCCCCCCGAATCATCCCCTTGTTCTTCCCACAGAAAGAACCAGGACTGATCTCCAAATGTAGAGCTTTGCTTTTCTTGAGCTTCTGGATTGGGGGAAGGTGTATGTGGAGAGAAATCTTGGTCATAACTCTAGTGAATGCTGCTATGAATGAGAGCCCTTGTAACACACACACACACCTCCATGGATGCTCCCACACTGGTTGAGGCCAGTGCAGATGATAATGCTCACCTGGGGGCCTCTAAATGCTCCTTGGATATGCTGCACAAGGCTGAGCCTTTGTGGGGTAGAACGAAGTTTGAGTCCAGGGGCACCTTTAAGACCAAAACGTTTTATTCAAGGTATAAGCTTCCCTGTGCAAACAGAGTTCCTTAGATACAGTGGAACAGAATTTCCTCAAGCCCTACATACAGGAAGATTTGGGGGGGGGGGGAGCTGTCAGGAAGGGCCAGCGAGAGCCAAGATGCATAACTACTGCTGAGATTGTAGCAAGGCAGCCGGTAAGATCAATGAATGGCAGCAAATTAGCACTGATACAAATTAGCATTGATCTTACTGGCCACCTTGATAACAATCTTAATTTACTTGGGTCTGACTGGCATCTTGGCTCTGACTGGCACTTCCCGGCGGCTGCCCCCCCCCCCCCCCCCCGCACGTAGGGCTTGAGGAAATTCGGTTTCACTGTATCTGGGGAGGTGTGCTTGCTCCTTGAATAAAACTTTGTTGGTCTTAAAGGGACCATTGGACTCAAACTTTGTTCTGCTGCTTGAGACCAACACGGCTACCCACCCGAATCGACCTTTGGGAGGTACCAAGCGCTCTTCCTAAGTCCTCTATCCTTGAGAGGCTTCTGTGGCGGTTACACTATTCCTGTTTGCTTTGTCTTTAGCTGGACTATCTGAAGGGAGATC